GGACCCCCTGCCCCGGCGGGGGTGGGACGCCGGGACCGGACCCCGGCCGCCCCGGGGTCGCTGCGCCTCCCGCTGCCGCCGCCGTCGGGGTGGACGCCCCTGCTGTGCGGGGTGTCTCCGTCGGGGTTTGGGGTCACCCCTGGGGTGCAGGGTCTCCCCTTTGGGGTTTGGAGATGCCCCTGGGGTGCAGGGTGTCCCTGCTGGGGTTTGGGGACACTCCTGGGGTGCGGGGTGTCCCCGTTGGGGTTCGGGGACACCCCTGGGGTGCAGGGTCTCCCCTTTGGGGTTTGGAGATGCCCCTGGGGTACAGGGTGTCCCTGCTGGGGTTTGGGGACACGCCTGGGGTGCAGGTTGTCCCCGTCCAGGTTTGGGGATGCCCCTGGGGTGCAGGGTGTTCCCATCGGGTTTTGGATACACTCCTGGGGTGCAGGGTGTCCCCTTTGGGGTTTGGGGATGCCCCTGGGGTGCAGGGTGTCTCCCACGCCGGGTTCCAAGGCAGCCGACACCCCGGTGCCGCTGGCGCGTGGCCCTCGCCCCGCTCCCGGCCTGCCCGGCGCGGGGTCTCGCCTGGGAGCCCCGTCCCTGAGCAGCCTTCCGCGGGCGCTGCCGCTCGTGGCCCTGCTTCCTTGGGCTCGCTGTCCGTACCCCATCACCAGAGCAGTGACCCCGGTGTCGCCTTGGCTTGGACGTCTGCTCTTCCCTGCGCATTTTATATAAACCACCTTTATCCACCTCGATTTTGGAGGTCGGGGCTGCCGGCCCCTCAAAACCAAATATTTACGCCTGCCTCGGGTCCCCAGCTCCTGCGGTATCGTTAATATGGGGAGTGTTTGAAGCCTGGCAGGGTGGGTGAAGGAGGGGAGGGGTGAGGACGAGGGATTGATCTGTGATTTAAATAGAACTTTTTTTTTTTGGTAACCAAAACATTTAGCTTTCCCTGTGAATGGTGGGTGGGTGTGTCAGACCCAGCACTGCTGCAAACCGCGCGCCACTGAAGACTGCTCAGGGCATAATTATCGTCTGCGATTCTATCCCTTTTTTTTTTTTTTTTTTTTTAAACCTTTTTTTTTTAATGTCTAACGAGTGATGCTGAGTCTGCTGCATTCCAGGGGAATGACTCACGCGTTCCCTCTGACCCGGGATGTGTTCCCCGTGTTTAACTGCTTTTACTTTGATGGTGGGGTGAGCAGATGAGGGTGAGGTTGGATGGGCAGAAGGGACGAGAAGGGGTTGCCTTGAAAATGAAGCTCTCTTGTTCCTCCGAGAGGTCGAGATAAGCAGGGCTCGCTGGTTTTGACCGTTAGATGCAGCCTTAGGCGTGTGGGCAGAGCTGGAGGGGGTGTGCCGGGGCTGCCGCGGCTCGCTGGGGCCGCAGCACCTCGGACGTGCCACGTGAAAAGCGGCAGCGGCTCGGCCGGCCGGAGCGGGGAAGCGTTGGGTTTGGCAGCGATCCTGGGGTGCCCAGTGCTGAACGGACCTAGAGCACTGCGGCCCCTTCCCCGAAGAACCTGCTGCACGAAAATGGCATTTTTAGGCCTGTGAAACAAGCAATGGGGTGCAGGGTTCTCGGGCGATGCCCGGAGGTTGGGCAGCACCTAACCCACCCGCGCCGCCGCACGA